CTGGCATTTTCAGATGGACCAGTGCTGCATCCAGCCTGGTGTAACCTCAGGGCACTGGCTGGTTGCCGTCTCCCAAATGAATCAACAATGAAAATATACAGCCATTTCCTCTACAAATTTGTGAACTTTCATACATGTCCCTTTTGAAATGCAGGAGGAAACCAGAAATGCCAAGGCCTGACTCCCATTTACATCCTGCTCTGTGCTTTGCACTGTTGGGAGCTGCTGGGGTAGATGAGGATGAGCCTCTTGGCTCTGAGTGCACATTGGTGAGTTCTCTTCCCTGGGGAAGCCTCTTTTTGTGTTCAGAGAGCTGCTGACATCCTGCATTCCTGAGAATGAAGCTCTCAGGTACCGTTTCTTGCCCAGGAGTTGTGTCCCAAGGGCTGGGATGCTGCTCAGGGCCAGGCAGTGACTGTGTGGGAGAACAGGACAGACACATCACGTCTCTGGTAACAGCAAAAAGCTGGAAACAATGATCCTGAAATTTTAAAGAAGTGTCAGATCTGTAGTTTGTGGGGAAAAAAGCTGGCTCAGGGGCTCTGCCAACCCAGGGGTTTAAGAAGTCTAGCTCCTTGGAGTATTGGTACTATGAATCAGTCTCTGAAGTGGCATGCAGTATTGGGCCTGGGAGAGCATATTTTTGTTGCACATTCTTTGTACTGTCAAAAGCATACCTGTAAAGAGGGTCCAGTGTCATGTCAGACTCAAAATCTCTGAAGATGTTCAGAAAAAATAGGGTCAAAAGACAGTGCATGGATTTGATGCACAATTTTGGTATGATCAAAAAAGCGCTTGTTTTCTGTCCCTCATTAGGTGGGGTCAGATAGTGAGCAGATAAGGTTTTAAGCTGTCAGGAGGTGTTGAAAACTGCCAAAAGTTGTGCCATTAAAGAAAAACAGCCCCTCAGTGGGATGTGGAGAGCTCCTCTGATGCCTTGGAAGGCTGAGCTAGAACAGAGGCTGGACAGAGTTAAAGAATAAAGTGGAGATTTATTAGACCTCAATGGATGCACCTTGGGCAGCACAAGAGCCCAGCCAGGGCTGCACCCAAGATGAACCAAAATGGTCACAAAATGCACAAACAGTCATGAGGTCTCTCACTTAGATCAGTTCTGCTCCATTTGCATCTTGCAGTTAATTGTCCAATTCCAGCTTTAGGGTTAGCAATCCCCTCCTTCTTGTTTTTCTCTCTTCAGTCCATGTTGTTTGTGCTCTTGGGCCTGAGATTTGGGTGGTTCTCCTTGCTCCCAAGCTAGGGAAGGAATTGTTTTGTCTAGCTACTCTGTGAAGAGAGGAAGCTCAGAACTACACACTAAGGCAGCACAGAATATGAAAAATATAAAAGCTCAAACCTGAGGCATCAGCTCAGCCTGGGTCGGCAGCGGCTGTAATGTGGAACCACAGCAGGAAGATTCAGGCTGGAAGAGGTCGAGACACACAGTTCCCTGGGAGACTTTTTAGTCATAAATGGAGATGAAAAAATGTCCAGCTCCAGTGTTTGTTTGCTGTAAGAGGCCTTGGGAAGCTGCTGGACAGAGTGACAGAGTGCCCTTTGGCACGCCTGGCTCCTGCTGCCCCTCTGCTCTGGCCACTGCCTTTGTTGCAACATTCTGGCAGAGAGCAGCTCTCCAAGGCCATGGTAAAGATCAAATCTCCCCATCAAGGCAAATTACCAGAATAGCACATTAAAGTTCTCCTTTGGTATTTTAATCCAGTCTCCTCTGAGCTTTTATTGCTGTCAAGCAACAAATGTCACTTGTTTTTGCAAAAGGTTTGTCAGAGATGGAGCTCTTAATGAAGAGCAGGGCTCGCTGGGACATGTTGACCAAGTCTTTGTGGGAAGTGGGGCGGGGGCTGTGTTGCTGGAGCCCTGGCTCCCACATGGATCACATCTGTGCTTTGCAGGGCACATGCTGCAAGCCCCCCGAGGGGCCCGAGCCTCGGCAGCAGCATGGCCAGCAGAGTTCACACAGGCAGGTGTGCTGAATGTGCTCTAACAAAGCACATCTCAATCAAGAGTCCTTAATTAAGGCCTCAGAAAAGCCTTTTGAAAAATACTTATCCATACCTAAGCACAACAGCTAAGAAGGTAAGAAAAATCTAAGGGAATTGATTTGACAGAGAGAAACCCCTGGTACAGGAGGAGGGACAGCTCATGCTGAGAGTGCAGCGCCTTGCGGGGCTGGAAATCCTCTCCTTTGTGTCCTGTGTCACCTGAGCTTCCCTGAAATGCCTGCCCCACTCCTGCAGACAGTCCCTGGAACATTCTCCTCTATTCTCCGTGGGCATACTGCGAGGGTTAATTCCTGTGTGCTTGTGTCTCACAATGAGGCAGGAATGCAGGAGGTGCAGGACTGCTCCCTGGGAGCTGCTGTGGCTGATGGGATGTGCATTGCAAAAGCCAAAACAAGCACTATTGCCAGTTCTGTTAATTTAAAAGCCAAGAGTCCAGATTGGAGGTGGTGGTAGTTTAAGAAACAAAATTAGATCAAAAAAAAACCATGCCTAGCATTTCTTCCTCTGTTAAATGAAGCTTCATGGTATACAGGTGATGTTTTGTTTACATCCTTAAAACTATGAGAGTTAAAACCAATTTTTTAACAAAAAAAAAAAGAAAATGAAAGCTAAAACGTCTCCATATTTTCATGCATCTAGGTAGGAGGGACTTTGGGTACCAAACCACATATCATAGACTGAGGCTGAAGCTGCAGGAGCACCAGTATTTTTGGAATATTCTAGCACAGTGGGACAGGATTTCCATTTCCATTTGGCTGTAGGGTTAGAGATACATGAGGCTCTAAAGCCTTATCCCTGCTGGAGCCCTGATAACACTGATCTGATACACAAGAAACCCCAGAATCCTTATTGCAGGCCCATGTGTTGTTGAGACTTAACTGAATTAAGGTAACGTGTTCGTGGCTGGGTTTTTAGTATCTGTGTCTATATCTATCTGTCCATCTCATCTGGCTTCAGTATCACAGAACTGCAGAGATGATCAAAAGAAAAATGAGAATGCTGAAGCAAGGATCTCATTTGAAATATTCTTTCCAGGCTGATATTTTTCCAGTCATTCTGCCAGCAGTCTCAGGTCTGCTTAGTCTGTTTAAACTGTCGTCTGAGTGCAGCTCCTGCTCCAAGCCAAAGCCATCTGTTGTTGGGTAATAGTTCTGATTTGTTCTGCCTCTGGTTGACACTCATGCTCCTGAGCCAGATGCTGACTTGCAAATTTTGCTTTTATTCATTTTCAGTTTTATACCATGTGTTAATATCACAAACAATATTTTAATTTAGGTTTGTTTTGGGGGGTTTTTTGTCTACTGTTTAAAATTAGGGATGAGTGTGACAACCCCTTCTGGGATGCAATTCAGCATCCTTCAGAATGGCACATGACATTTTATAAATGCATTCAAACAGTGCTTCTAAATGTCTGATATCTTCCAAATCACTAATCTATACACTCATTTCTGTGGCATAGAATTAATTTTGTTTTGCTTTCAAATAAAAGGTTTGGACTGCTTGAAGACTTCTGGGCTTGAGAATGCTGGGGTGGCTAACTGTGGTCAGAATATCTGATATTCTACAGCATACCCTTTGACTTCAGTGAAGAATGAGGGTAGTTAGGTAACTTTGCAAGTTTGCACCGATGCAAAATGCATATGAAATATAAAGATTATTCGAGAGATGGATAGATTTCACCAATTCCAGATTTATAAAATGTCTCTTTGTAGATGGGCAGCTTCCAGACAATGGGTGCATCTTGCACATTAGCTCCTGGTGGCAGTCTGGGTTTAGATCTTTCCGTTTGCCTGTTTTCTCCAGAGTTGCTGTTGAATCACTGGGAGGTTGTGCAGCAACTCCAAAACACTGTAAAATCCTTGTGGTAGCTCTTAATACAATTTAGACATACAGTAAATAAAGGTGCCATTATAAGGCAGCATAGATTAATGCACCAGTCTTCAGATAGGTTAGCAAAAAGCAGTTGCTACTTGTAATGACTCTCAGGTGATCATCAGTGCAGTACTTGTGGTTTCGTAGGTAGAGATGGACTCTCAGAAGCATTGAAAAAGGAAAAAATCAAACTGTATAAGCATTTTTTAAGGTCTGCTAAAAATAGTCATCAAATTGTGGCAAGGGCATTGTTACAAAATGTAATTTAATGGACATCTTAACTTAGGCCTGTTCCTTTGGGAACATTGGATTTCAAGAAGAGTTTTTATGTAAGGTTCATTGTCTTAGTGAATGTTTTCTTAATCTTAAGTGGTTCAAAAGTGAAATGGGAATTACATACGTGATCTGAGAATTTTACCAGAGTGGTTTTATAATTTTGGTTACCAAGATGATGTTTGCAGACATTTATTTAAGTAATGTTTTCTTCTCATGGTCAGTCATTTAGTGTTTTGGGGGAGGGAAATTTTTGATGGGAAAAAAAGAGAAAGAAAGTGATATTTCTGCAGTGTATCTACAGAATGTCTTGACATATTTGACACCTAATACCATCCAGCTTCCCTGGGAGGCGTTGTCAGCCGAGCTCGTGTTTCACACCCCAGTCCAGCTCTGAGCAGTGCAGGCCTGCTGCACAAGGCATGTGGTGTGGAGCTTCACAGAGCAAGAGGACTTACATAGAAAGTAAACAGCTGTGCAAGTAAAAGCTTCAATTCAGCAAGGTCCTTAAACATATGTTTAAATATCATTGAAGTCAAGTTAAATTGCTTTAATCATATACATAAGCACTCTGTTGAATGAGGGCTTAATAGTAGTTTGCATCTCTTTCCACATGATCAAGGCCTTTTCATATTTGCTGCATGCAACAGGGATTTCTTCTTGGTTACACAGCATGAGCAATTGCTGTGACTTTTGGAAGACTCCCTCAACAATATGAATTTTCTGAGCTGTTGTAAACAGTACAGTGTGGAATGCCAGTAAGAGAGAAAGGAAAGGCATTTTCCCAGCTCTCTGCTTTGAGAGTAGATTTAACACATCTTTTCTGCTGTTTTCCAGGACCACCTGCTACTGCCAGCCACCACACATAACAAGACCAGGAGACCAAAGATGTCTATAGTGCTGCCAGCTGTAAACATCAATGGTAAGTGCAAAAGAAGTAGGAGAACGATAAGAGAACAGTTTCAAAGAGATGTGACTGACTCATACATGAAAAGCAAACTTAGGCCAAATGTCTGTCATTACAGCTTTGCAAGAGAAGTCAAACTGATCATTGCTGGGGTTTGGCTGCCAGGGTCCCCGCTGGAGCTGAGCACTGGCAGATCTCCCATGCTTGGTCACCCAGACTTTGAGGAGAGCTGGGGACTTGGCCCCCAGTTGTGCATTGTGGCTCCTTCCAGGACGGGGAGGGTGCCATCCAGTCCTGGTGATTTGTACCCAGCTGATTAAGGGTTACATGAATGGGATTTAAACTCTAACTTGGTGGCTTACGGAGCCCATGGAGACTGTCCTCATCTCCTCGTTTGGGTTCCTCCTACGCTTGCCTAGCAGGGCAAATTCCTTGGCCTTGCTGGTTTATTAGGATGCTGACTGCCTTCCCTGGCCCTCCTCAACTGTTTACCACGCTGTTATACAACACTCAGTGTGAGTGGGACCTCTCAGCACTGCCTGGTCAGGATTAATAATCATCATGTTACGGTGCTGCAGGACAGCAGAGAAAACAGCTTTGCACTGGGGCACGGGCTTATTAGTGCACAGAAATGTTCTGGGTCGGCATTTCAGTCCCACATGAGAGACAGGACATGACCTGCACAAAATATATCATGAATTCAGCTGGTGAGGAATTGCCAGGGTGGGACATGCTTTGGACACAGGGTCACTGCCACACTCATCAAAGGCATTGAGAACCCTGCAGCAGTGTAAACTTTACTTTCTGAACAACTATGCACATAATGCTTTTTTAAAACATCTGTCTTTTACAGTACATGTGAATCATAAGCCCAAATGTTATTGTTAAATCCCAGCATGCTGAAAACATTATCTGCTGATGCGAATTTCCATAAACTAAGAAAAAAAGAATCAGTTCAGGCTTTTAGCATTTTAATAATTGCACTTTCCCATGCAGTACAGCCGAGTGTGATAATCTGTACAGCTATCCTAGGGGAACTTTTATTAGATGTATCAAAATTATTTTTGGCATTTATCTGCCTGAAACTCCCTTTTTATGTCTGTTACAAAAATCCTTTTCTGGCTGACCTGCCCACATGCAAGTGGGCACTTTATCACTGAAGTACAAACACTATTTCTAAATTACAAATTATTTCTTCTTAACATTTTACCGAGTCCTCTTTTTACTTTAAATAACTTTTCATTTGCTGGAGTAAATATAATTTGGAAAATACCCATCAGAATCCAGTGACAAATCTTATCCATAAATAATGAAACATTGTGAAATTATATTTTCATCAGTTCTTCGGGATTTTTTCTTTGGAACATCAGCATAATCCAGGAAATAAAAAAAAATGTCCAGGGATTTGGGCAGAGATGTCGAAACAGATGAGACACAAGAATAGCATTAAGCAAACAACAGCATCAAACATGGATTCCTCTGTGACACCCAGCCAGGTGTTGGGGAAAAAAGTTACAATCAAGAGCCAGTAGGTAACTTGGCTTGATTTTCAGATTGACTATTGATAACCATAGGAAATGATTCCCTAAAATGTTCTGTCTGGAGAAAAACCCATTTCTGTCCTTTGAGAAAATTGCTTCTCCACCCTTTTCTGCCTCTGTGGGGACTGGAGTTCATCTGCACAAGCATCTGGGAGTTAGCGGACAGCAGGGCTTTCCTCCCAGCTGTCTGCTGTTCTTTTAAGCCCACCTTAATTCTCTGTGCACCTGCAGAGAGTTGGCTGCTGGAAAAGGACGAGTCTCCTTTGGAGAAATTGGCAAAACTTTCATTGTAAAAACTTGTCCCCTGTTTCCTTGTGCCTCGCCCAGATCTCTGTGCAAGAAGGGAAACCTTTTCTACTGCCACTTCCTTGCCCTTCTTTTTTACTGCCACAACCCTGCCAGAGGAGCTGACAGGAATACAAATGAAGGGCTCTTTGTTTTGAAGTTTTTTCAGAACTTCATCACTTGCTTGTGATCACTTGCATTGTGTACTGAAGTTTACCCATGACACTGTTTCCAAAGATGAAATACTTGACAGGGCAGTTGAGAACCAACCCTTTGAACTACTTGGACAGTCATCCTTTTCTGGTTACACTTAGATTGTTCTGGTGCCTTCTGAGGCCCACTAGCTGGCTTGAGCCATTCCCACCACTGGCTGCAGGGACAGAGAACAGGTATGGACAATGAGTACAGAGTGGAATGAGTTGTCCACTGCTGTCCTCCATGGCTCTGCAAGACTAATCTGGCAGTTTTCACAAGTGTACAAAGCAGAGTCAAGGTTACAGCCTGAAGAGTTTTTCTGGGAGGAAGGTGGCAGTCCTTGTGCTGTGAGGTAGTGACAAATGTCAAGAGACAATCTTGTAATTGATGTGCACATGCACGTGTGTGCAGTCAGTAAGATCGAAGTTTAAAAGGAGATCTTGTACAAGACAATAGCAGTATGTTATTAATTTTCCAGATAAAAACTTGCTTTCAAGTACTCAGTTGTTCTATGCTGGAAAAGAGTAAAAACAGCCCTTAACTTGTAATATGCCATGTGCTCCTTCTCACAGTCAGCTTGAATCTCCCATGTCCCTCAGAGAGCATTAGGATAGAACCAGATCCTCACTGTCCAGGTGCATAGAAACATATTTGCCTATTTAAATATGTTTAGTATGTTAAGATATGTTAAATATGTCTAAGTTTAATTTTTTTTAAGTACAGGAATTTGTTATACATTGTTACATGGTAATCCTCCGCCTCCTACTCCCTTTTCCTTCTTCCTCCCTGGTCATAGCCCCTTTCCAAGCTTGCTAGGCCATCCCCCAGTTCACAGTCAGTGCTTGCTGGCAGCTCTTCCTTTTCTGCCTCCCCAGATGCTCTAGCAGTGCTTTGCCCTTGTGCCCTGTCCCTGCTGACTGCTGTCCCCTGGTGCAGCTCTGCCCTTGGCCCCTGCAGCCAGCCATGCCCTGTTCTGACCTGCCTCTGCCCAGGGACCACATGCAGTGCTCACAGAAAATCTGCCTGATGATACCTCAGGGCCTCAGCACTGGTAAACCTGGAAGGAAAAAGGCACAACTGGGGAGTCCTAGGCCCACTCTCTGTGGTTTTGGTGTGCCTTCCTGAGAAGTTACTCCAAGAAGAAATATCGTGCAGTTTGTCATGGGAATGAAAACGAACTGCAATCTACAGTTAAACTCAGGCTTTTGTTTTCAAGCAAGTCATGTTTGTTATGCTGGATTGCAGCTATTATTTTAGAAATCTAACTATGCACTTGAGACCAGTTAAGTCTCCAGTAGGTTTCATTCCTAAATTTGCTTTTATTTTAATTCAGAATGTTGTTGGCTCATTACACCAATTCCAAATTGACATATAGGCGGTGCCTTTCTTGAAGTTTAAGTGAAACCATCTGCCATTAGCCCTCTATTTATTTAACTGCAGCGTGTTGCAACATGGATCCTTGGATCCAAGTAACCTATGGAGAAGAGTGTAGCTGAGCCACTCTGAGCACAAGCTTTGTGTGTGTGCAGCCTGCCTGCAGCTCTGCAGCCCAGCACAGCCCAGCAGGACTGCTGCTCTGTGCAGCACACACGAGTGAGGACAGGCAGGGCCAGAGAGCCACTTCAGTGTCTGCCCAAGAAGCCCCTTGCAGGAATGCAGTTCTCCCTGGGATTAGGTGAGGGACTCTCACAGCTTGCACTTGCTCTTGGTAGGAGCAGTTCTAAGTGTCTGTACAGGTGTGTACTCTCCTTAGCAGCAACACAGAGACTAAAAAGGCCTTTTTTCTTCTTGGGATCCCTGTGCAAAACAGTTCCCTATATGTGAAAGTTTTCCCATCACTCACTTTCTTCAAACTGGGGATTGGTGTCTGCGCTCTAGGCGAAAACAAAAGTGAGAGACCTGATGAGAAGGCCCCTGGTGAAATCTAAAGCTCATTTTCTTGGAATTAGCAGCCATGACAGAGAGAGTTTTGAATTTTTTATAAATATTCTGGGTAGATCCTTAGTCTGATGAAGCCCAGTGGGGCTTGTCTTCAGTCTGCCTTTGAGATAGCTGTTTGTGTGACCCTCAATAACCTGACCCTCCTTAACCTTCTTAAGGAGCCCTCTTCTCCTAAGGGTTGCTTTTTGTCATGAAATCCAACAGCAAAATAATCTCCCAAAGGCAGAAATGAAACGGAGTGCTGACTTCAGCAGAGTCCATGTGCTCTGTTGTGTTAGCCAATTTCTGATTCGTGAGCAGTTCCATCAGCTTTCCTTCTTGCCATCCATCATCATACTGAGGTAACAGACTTCAAAAGTGCTCTGAAATGATATACGTTCTAATTAAAAAGGTGGAAAACAAATCTAGTGGTAAGGCTTTTTGATCAAAACTGGAGTGATTTCTGCCATCAAGCAGCATAATTATTTGCATTGCAGCTACAAAAAAAACTCCTTTCAACTGCCAGCCATGTGCAAGCAAGTCACAGATGTCCCAGGCTGGTAGCAAACTGTCTATGAAAAATCTGTAAGGCAAACAGAACCCACACAGGCTGAGGAGGAAAATAAAAACAAAAGTTCTTTGGGAAGTGACAATGGTCTGTAAGTTCCCATGTCTTAGGGTTGAATAAATAAAGTCTTCAACTTCCTCTGCCTTTCAGGGTCAAGCAAACAAAAGATGGGTTTCCTTTTTTCAGAGCAAGAAACAGAATTCGCAGTCAGTCATTGAGGAAGGTCTAAAATAGCAAGTATCTGACCGAAGAGCAGCTCCTTCCCTGCAGGTTACTGCTTGGCATTTTGGGAAGCCTCTTTCTTGCTTTGGATGGCTCCAGAGCAGTTTCCAGAAGGTGATGGTCCCTGCTGTTGTCCCTCATTGTTCTCCCTGTGTCTAAAAGCCAAGGCATGGTGCCCATGGCTCCCTCTCGCAGCTGCTGTCCTTGGCACCAGGCTGGGAGGCTCATGCCGCTCTGCCAGGTACAGGGGACACATCTCTTGGCTGCACAAGCATGAGATATAG